TGTCTGGAATTTAAACAGGAGAATTACTGATCAGGCTTGCCTTACCTTTAGAACAGCTAGAAGAGCTCCAAGTTCATCAGTCTGTGTCAGTTTCATCTTCCCACCATTGAGAAGTGATTGTATGCCCTTTAATGCATTCTGTAACAACTAGTGGGAAAAAGAATCTAAAGTTAGAAAGCAGAATAAAATTTGGTTATTAAGAAATCTAATTTTTGGCACCACTTAGGATAGAAGAGCAAAAAATCTCTAGATGATGAAAAACACTTTAGAAACATGATTGTGAGACAAAGCAGGAACAAAGATCCAGAGAATAGACCTGATAAACCACTGAATTATTTTTCTAAAGAAAAGAGTATCCTTATTGAATGGCCTTATTATACTTTCTTATAAACCAGTATGTGCAAATGGTGAGCAGGGAGAGAGAGAGAGAGAGAGAGAGAGAGAGAGAGACAGAGACAGAGAGACAAAGAGAGAGAGAGACAGAGAGTGTGGGAAGAACGTGAGAAGGAATGAAGAAGTGGCAGCAGAGATCAGAAGTGGGAAAGCTGTAATTCGGCAAAGCCATTGCTGTGGGAACATGACAGAAACATAATTTCTAGTGGGCAATTCTGATCAAGATTGATTTCTTAGCTTAGTAATCTCATTTATAGGTCCCTGTCATTCTCCCACAGGGGAGAATGTGAACTGTAGCCTTGTTTGAAATGTGGAAAAATGAAAAAAAGTCAATTTTCATCAATTATAATCAATAATACAGTGATGACATAAGAAACCCTCAGCTAACTGCGAAACTACCAATACAATGCAGTTATATCCCATTTCCAAGAGGAACATGGAGGCTCCAAAAAGTTAAATAACTTGCACAAGGTCTCTTGGCTACAGCAGTTAAAAAATATGAGGTATACAAACAGGTATTAAAAAGCTGCCCAAGAGACATTAGGATTTAAAAATCTAGAAAGTTATAGAAAAGCATATTAAATATGATTCCACTTAAAAATGATAAATGTGCCCATTTGTATATGGAAAAAAATCTGAGGACCCATGCAAAGAATTGTCACAAGTGGTTGTATCTGAGCAGGGGACTGAGGCAATTTCACTACCTTGCATCTACAATGTTTGAAATCCGTCACTCTGAATTTAAAACATGTTAATAAACTGTCATATACATGCCAGATTTTTTTAAAAAAATAAATAAAGCTACAGATATTGTTGAAATCTGCTTTCTTCCTGTTCATCTTAAAGTCAGTTACTAGCTGGAAATCTTATTGCTTTTATACTCAAGAGGAAAAAGAATAGTTTTCTTTTAAAACCCAGAATGGCAAACAATCCCAAAGAAAAACAAAACAAAAAATACCAGTTTCTTGTCATTTAAACCTAAAAATTCAATATTCCTGACTTATAAACATTCTACATATATGCAAATATCTTTAAACAAAACTAACATAGCAGCAAAATTAAACTCTTTGGTAATAAACTTCTGCTGTACTCCTGCTTCAAGACACATCTGCAACAATCAGAAGATAAGCGATAGTCCTACCTACCATACAAAATATTATATCATCCGTATCAGATGATTTTGAAGACTGTAAAATGGTCAAGAAAGCGTTGAAGCAAATATTTTGATAGGGCTCCTCCAAGTAGGGCTGTCCTGGCACACTAGAACACAAACAGAGAAAAAAACCTCAAAAGTCTCCTCTGAACTGGTACTTGCAAAAGAATAAGAAGTAAACACAGTAGTAACACAGACTGATGGAGTTAGAATATACCCTTGAATGCAACTGTACTTTGACTAATGAGTTATTGCTATGGGACAGGTATAAGCTTGAATAAATATGAAGAAGGAAGAGTAGTTTCCACAGGAGAAAGTTACAGAAGTCTGTAGTGGAAGAAGAATGCACAAAGAAAAATCTTTTATAGTTCTGCTTTCCAGTTCTACAAGGGAAAGATATAAATAGGTCCTGCTGAGTTAGAATGGTATGATTGAACCTGCCTTCTTAGCTACTGGACAGTACTAAGCTATGTAGACAAGTTCAGCTCCGTGCTGCTCACAACCTATTACATATTACGGATTGGTTCCATTTTCTTAAAAGAGAAGAAAACAGCCTTGACAGATAAACCACACCAGAGCTTAAATTCACATGAATATATCCTTGTAGAAGACCTAATATGGCTAGGATTTATAGAAAACCAAAAACTTGACATACAGTGCACATATATCACTTTTAGCATATATTTTTTTCATCATTCCTTTATAAGCTTTCATTAAAACAAATAATATAAGATAACCTTATTAAATGACATGAGAAGTAGAACATGCGTTATTCGTTTTGAAGTTAGCTCTGGTTTCAGATAGATGGAACAGTCTACAAAGGGACGGGGAGAGGTTTCATCTTATTACTACTGGGAAACCACACCGGACCCACATACCTGAGACATAAGTTTGCCATACAATGCACTGCAGCTCTCCTGACTTCAGGGTCAGACTGAGCCAAGTCACTCATCTTCATCAAGAGGCCAGTCTTGCCTAACAAGTCTGGGAGATACTAAAACAAAATAACAGTCAATGTTGGTCTAAGAGAAGCTTCTAGAAAAAGTTTTGTTGTTTTTTTTTTTTTAACTAAAGGAACTAGCTGTGAGGTGAATCTCTCAGATGGGTATGCAAAGATACACTAAAAAATAGCAATAAGGACCATTACTGGGTAGTTGCAGAAGCTCTTTAGTCTTGGCTGCATGGATGATAAATAACAACAACAACAGTAATAGTTAATGGAGTGGCAAGCACTTTACAGGTATTGTCTCACTATAACTTCAGAACACCTATTTTACACATGAGGAAACATGTCTCTGACGAATTCTGAGGACAGCTCAAGCTTATACATCCAATTAGTAGCAAGACAGATTCCTGAACACAGGTCTCTTGACTCCAGAATCTGTGCTTGCCTTTCAAAGGAAAGGCAGAGTGCGGTTTAAACTACCTTTTGACATTTTGAGCCATTGTAGTAAACCAGAGCTGCCAGGGCTTGGAGAATTTCCATGTGTGTCCAGGAGCTACACTGCCGAATAGCTAAAATGGTATACGCCAACAAGAAATCCAGGTTCTGTTCATCAACAATCACCTATTGACAGAAGAAAAATACAGATGCTCTAACTTTAAAACTATTTTCATCCTTTTACAGCTATGTACGCTCCCTTGGATCAAGCTGTGTGAGACTGCATATCCATCTTTTCTTGCATGTGTCAAAAAGAGGTTCTAAAGGTTTGATAATTTGATCAAGACAGAGGCCCTCCGCCTGTCCAACGTCTCAGTCATTTTAGTCCCTTTAGTCTCTCTACTCAAAGCAGAACCTGGAGAGGGCATTGTAACTTGTCCTTGAACTAAACAGACATTGGCAGCTGTGAATACATTGATACAAGACTCAATCCACTGAAATACCTTAGTTCAATTAAACTGTCTTATATAGAGTAATCACTCAAAAAATACATAGTGACTAAACATATTTGCTGAATAGCTACTGTGTCTCTTGCTTGGTGGCAGGAATACAAGAAGAAGAAGTGGTATGTCCCTGTCCCAGTGGAGTTCACAATCTTTTGGGGATAAATTAGGCTAATCTAAGTATCAATTTGTGGACATTTGAGACAAACCGTCATCAAATGCTAGAAAGTTGTCTGTGGGTTGTAGGTGCCATGGATGATCAGAAAGTTTTCCCATGGCCACTGTTACAAAGATGACACACCTGAGAATAGCAAATATTCAGAAGCTATCTCACATCAGTTTGAAACATTCTAAAGTTGAAAATAACTCTATCTCATGTAGCAGACACTGTCGGTTAACTATCAGCATCCATCTTCTCTGAGGGCAGAGCTCTAATTTCATTTGGATGCCCACCTCTCCTACATGAGATCCACAGGGAAATCCTATTTACTGACAGTGGTTCTCAACCAGGGCCACTCTTGACCCCCAGGGAACATTTGACAATAGCTGTAGACATTTTTGATTATTTGCAATTAGTGTCAAGTGGGTGGACACTAACGATCTTGCTAAACATATTATAATGCACAGGACATTATAGCAAACTGTTATGGCTCAAGTTTAAGCCTCATGTGGTCACAGGTGGGGCTTTTTCAGAGCTGGCTAAATCTAGAGTGTGTGACCTAAAATTGATTCATGATACAATGGTAGGCTCAAGGGCACTACGATTAAGGGTGTGAGTGCTACCCGCCCTAAATAGCCTGGATAAGATAAAAGGAGCAAAAAGAGCTGTGGCCATCCTGTGCCGCTTTTGCTATCTTATGGGTGGCATGGATTGTTCTCCTCTGTGACGCCCCTCTGCCTTGTGCCACTCTGCCTTATAGCCAGCCAACTATAGACTAAAACCTCTACAAACTATCAGCCAATAAACTTGTCCTTTAACTTTTGGCGTTGGATATTTTGTCTCAGCGATAAGAAAAATAACTAAGACGAAATTTGGTATCGGAAAGGGGGGTGAGTCATTGCTGTGACTATACTTGATCATGTGGCTCAGGAGCCTTTGAGAATGGCTTGTGGGAAGAGTTTGGAAAGGTTCAAAGGGCTAAAAAAGTAGAGCTAAAACGCTTTAGGTGGTACTTGATGAGAGATTCTGGTCAGAGCTCAGAAGAGCAAAAGGCTGATAAAAACGATGCTGGTAAAGACAAGGCTCAGGAGGTTTCTGCTGGGAAAAAAGACTGCATTGATTGTTACACAGCAGATGATGTGTGTTATGGCTTGGCAAAAAGTTTGTCTGCATTCTGCTCCTGTCCAGAGACTTTGCCTGAGACTAAGGTTAAGTAAGGGCAGCAGACTAATTAATCTGGCAGAAGACATTTCAAGGCAGTCTCATGTTGAGGCGGTGCGATGCCTACTGCTGGGGGCTTGTAGCCAGACTTATGTTGAAAATCAAGACCAAAAAACCCAACAAAATAACGCAAAATGTTGTGAGTTTGGCCAGAAAGGAAGCTCCAACAAAGCCACAGACTGCAGAGACAGAGCAGAAGAGATCTTAAGTGCTGAAAAAAAACAAGCAAATAAAAAAAGATGACTTGAGGGCATCACAAAAACCAGCGAGATTCCATCCTTGGCCACCTCAAAATTACAAAAGTAAAAGACTTTGCTTCAAAAAAAGAGCCTTGGAGGCTTCTTGCTTCTGCTGTCTTCTGTCCTGTACTGCTGCCCTTCTCCCACTCTGCTTTGGAGCCAGCTGATTATGGACTGAAACTTCTATGGTTTGTGAGCCAAATAAACCTTTCCCCCTTAAAAAAAAAAAAAAAAAAAAAAAAAAATGGAGCCTTGGAGCATCATGTTCCAGAATGGCAGTGGCCTAAAAAAGTTGTTCCTCAAGATTTGGTTCATAGACACTTCCTACAACCAGGAGGAAAAGAAGGCTGGCTACTGCTCCAGCTGGCAGCAGACCTTGACATCATCCACGTGGCACTGGTTTTGGATACGTGGGGAATGCAAGAGTTGTGGGGTCAAGAAGGCTTCCACTCAGATTTCAGAGGAAGGCCTGGGAGGCCAGGCAGCGTGCTCCTGAGAGGGCAGCGCGTGAAGCTGTATGAGCCAAAAATACAACAGACACTCCAAAAATTTAGAAAAGCCAAGAGGGTAGATCGTCTGAGAAAAACTGCAAGGAGGGAGCAGAGCCAGCCCCAGAGAGAAGCCACAAGAGCTACAACCACCGGCAGTGCCACAGCGGCAGGGTCACCCAAGTCCTTCAGAGTTCACAACTTGCCACAGATTGTGAGAGATGCTAGAAGTAAAATGGTGAGATTTAATGTTTTCCCTGTTAGATTTTAGACTTGTTTTGGTCTCATTCCTTTATATTCACCTGTTTATAACTTTAAAATAAAGGGCTGAGGATTTAGCTCAGTGATGCTGCCTCCTGCCTCGAAAGTACAAGGTCCTGAGTTCTATCCCTGGTACCAAAAAAAACCCACAACAGTTACTTGCAACTTTAAAATAAAATAAAAATGTCTAACTTGGGGACAGAGATTTAGCACAGTGGTTCCACTGCCTGCCTCGCAAGCACAAGGTCCTGAGTTCCATCCCTGGTACCAAAAAAAACCCAAAACCCAAACAAAACAAACAAACAAAAAAATGTCTTATCTTGTGCCATTAAATGTTAAACACTTATACAGAGGCTTGCAGCTAAAAATTTGCTTTAAATCTCAGAAGAGACTTTAGACTTAAGACTTTTCAACAATGCTAAAAGTATTAAGACTTTGGCAACTCTTAAAAATATACTAAATGATTTTTTTCATAAAGAGATACGCATGAGTCTTTGGGGGGCCAGGGGCAGAATGTTATGGCTGTGTCTAGCTATCCCCCCAAAGCCTCATGCGGTCATAGATGGGGCTTTTTGAGAGGTGGCTAAATCTACAGTGTGAGATGCTAAAATTAATTCAAATACAATGTTAAGCTCAAGGGCTTAATATTGAGCTTAAGATGAAGGGTATAAATGCTACTCACCCTACATAGCCGAGGCAAGATAAGAGACAAAAAAACCTGTGGTCGTCCCTTGTTGCTTTTGCTACCTTGTGGGTGGGTGCCAAGAACTGTTTCTTCTCTGCGACGATCCTCTGCCATGTGCCACTCTGCCTTAGAGCCAACCAACTATAGACTAAAACTACACACTAGAAGCCAAATAAACTTTTCCTCCTTTAACTCTGAGTGTCAGTATTTTGTCTCAGCAGCAACAACAACAAAAAAATAACCAAGACACAAACAAAGTATCCAATCTAATATATCAGGAGTACAGAGGGTGAGAAACCCTACAGTAAGCTCATTTTGGGTGCACATTATAATCATTCAGGGAGCTCAGGCACTCCAGGTGATTTTAATGTGCAGTCAAGGTTGAAACCACTGGTTTGTTGTTTTTTCCTGGTACCTGGGATCGAACTCAGGTCCTTGTGCTTGTGAGGCAGGCACAGCGCCACTGAGCTAAATTCCAGGCCCTGAAACCACTGGTTTTAAGGGGGTGGGGGGAACTTAGCAGTACAGCACCTACTTAGCATGCATGAGGCCATGGATTCAATTCCCAACACTGAAGCCAAACCAAACTACTGTTTTAAGTCATTCATGGTAAGATCATTGACTTGTTCAGAGACTGTTTTAGAGAGCTGTTTATATGAGTTAGCACTCCAATGAGATATCAGGAGAGCTTGCTGGAGAACTTACGGGTCAAGTTTGCTCATTCTTAAATACAAGAGACAAAATCAACCTGTTCTTTGGCTTCTATTGAATGTTAGTTATTCTGCATGGGAATCCCTAGAATTATACAGTCATTTTATGACTGTGTGAGAGGTTACCTAAGGACAGCCCCCCACACTGAGGATGGCAGAATGGAAAGATGCCAGTAAGCCTGTTATTATAAAGGGACTCTAGAGCTGCCTGCCTTGGGACTTGTGACATGGCATAATTCCTTTTCCTCTTTATTGTTTAGGTATTTTGGGTTGGCTTTTTTGTTTCTTGTAGCCCAAAGCATCCTCTTGACATAATACTAATTCATATATTTTGTACTCTTTACATTCTGTGTAACAGTCTTAATCCTAAAGGGAGTGGATTTATTCAGCAAGTTGGAAAACCTTCTAAAGAGAGCTGCAGTACAGACCTTGATATAAATAACTGGGGTCTTTTTACCCTAGTGTCCCCTTGCCCTTCAGCCTTCTTCTTAGGTTTGCATACATCAGAAGAAGATGACAAAAATGACAGCTTCAGAAAAGGGGAAACATATTAGTAGGAAAGAAGTAGGGAATCATTTCAACTTATTGAGATATATCTGGGTCAACTTTAGCTTCAGTGAAAAAATCTAGGACTAGGGAATCTGAATAAACATTGGTTTATTCAATCAAACAGAAAGAAACACTTCTAATAGACAAATTTCTAGAATTATCCAGAATAATGTCAATTATATTTAATATCATTTTTGTTAAGGTGTTACCTTTTCCTACCATCTCAAAAGACCAGCTTATGACATCTACCACAGATGCGGTTTAAAGGCATGTATTTATTCTCAAAGTTCATGATCTGAATCCTAAAGTTATATGTATTACCTGTAATCTGTTAAGTAAATGGTGGATCAGCTTAGACACTTTGCTGACAAGATGATTCTGATTAGGAGGCACCAGTCGGCAAGCTTGGACAAGAAGAGCACTGACATCCTACCAAAAACATAAAAAAATAAAAATTAAAAAGACAAAGCAAAGGTAATACACCTACTAGTCAAGTGAAGACACCCAAAACACAGCAAAAGAGGAATATTGGAATATTAAAAGTGCAGGTTCACACAAGAATGGGGAAAGATGATATCCGAATGAAATTCGAGGGAGAAAATAAAATAATAGCACAAAAATAGGATATGCTAAAAAAGAAGAAAAAAATTGGTATGGTTTTTGTCAGGCTAAAGACTTCAGAGTTTCTGTCATCTATAGACAATATAATTAAATAACCAAAGAAAAACTTCCAGCATATAAAAGCACACGCTGAAATTAAAAACACCAAAAAACTAGTGAACTTGATTCTAGTAACTGAGAAAATCAGAAAGGACACTTCCATGAATTTTATGTGAAAATAAGAATTTTTTTAAAAAAGAGAAGAACCCATTTGCAAATCACACCATTCAGCCATTGATGATTACTGACAGAAAGGTGCTGAGCACATACTGTGGGCTCTAAAGGTGAAGGAAACATCTTCCTGAACCTCAAAGAGCTCACAATCTAATGAAGGAGTCAGAAATAGACATGTATAATTAAACTAAATAAAGTGCTGAAAGAATTAAGTAAAAACTCAGTGGGAAAAGAATAATTAAGGAGGCTTGTAACAAGGAGATTTTTAAGCAGAATCTGGAATGATGTCAAGAATACATAGAGCTCCGCCAGACAAGGCATCAAAAAACAATGCAAGCAAAGGGAGTGGGCAAAGATTCGGAGATGAGCAACGCCAGCAGGTGCTTGAAGAGCAGCAAGTTCCAAATGACTGCATACAGGACACAAAAGGGGGACAGACAGGAAAGAAGACTAGAAAAATGCAATTTATTTACAAAAATATCACAGTACACCAAGTAATCAAAAGTTCATCTCCTTTAATCCCACTCTGCTCCTTAGAGAAGCAGACAATTTTTTTGCTGTTGTCGAGAACTCTTCTGGATCTCATTTAAAAAAAATTACACACACACACACACACACACATTATTTTAAAATCCCCCATCTTCCTTGAGCCCCATATTGGTCTCATATTGTATAAAATTCATACAAATTCATAAAATTCATTTGGCAACTTGTTTCAACATTTACCAATATGTATTAAAGATTTTCCCAGATCAGATTTTTACTTTTATAGACAGCTTTAAAAAAACAACAACAACAAAGAAAAGATCACTCTGGCAGCACAGCAAAGAATAGTCTGGAGAAAAGCTGAACTGGAGGAAGGAGATTTGTTAGAGGAGACCAGTGAAATAGTCCACCCAAGTCATGTAGCTTAAGGCAAGGAGAATAAGGGCCACGTGGACTGAGAAAAACGTGTGAGACAGCTTCTGAAGAATCTGGATTGGATAGCCTCTGGGATAAAGGCAAGGAAAAGAACAAAGATTTGTGTCTGTGTGACTTGGTGGACTGAACATGTCTGTGTTGGAGGGGAGGATGGATTGGCGATGGGTGTGTCTGAAGACAGTGTATTCATTATTAAGAACTGTCAAGTCTGAAATGCCTCTGAGCAACAGAAAGGCCCAGGTATTGACTGGCTTAAGAATTCAGGGAATCAGGAAGTGGTATCCAAGGTCTAACGTGTATGAATAAAACTGCTCAATGAAAAGAACTTCTAAAGAGGAAACAGGAGGGAAGAGCTACAGTGGAAGCACAAAAAATACAGGGATTTTGTGACAGATTTAAACTCCAATTCTAGCTCTGCTCCCTGCCAACAATATGACACTCACCGGATCTTGTGAGGGTCAGTGTTTTCATCAGCGAAAACAACTTAGTAATATCCACGTTCTAAGGTTGCTGGAGCCGTTCACGGTAAAGTGCAGTACTCCATAAGCAATAATAATGATAGACTGTACCTATAAAAGTGCTGGATGCACAGAAAAGAAGTGGAGCGTGAGGATGGGAAGGTGGTACCAGAAATGACAGGTGAGATGCTGGAGGAAGTGATCAAGTCGGGGTTTGAAAGATCTGAGTTTGCCAAGCACTGCAATCTTTGAAATGTAGGAAAGCAGAGAATGTGCAACGGTCAGAGCGAACCAGTCAGCCTGGAACTAAGTCATCATCGGGATAGGAGGGGAACATCCCAGAGAGACTGGCAGGGCTCCCTACCAGCTGGGTTCCCTACAGGGTGGGGCCGGGGCCGCCGGCGCAGCGCCTACCTCCGCGGCCACGCCGCCGCCCTCGCGGTAGTTCTCGGAGATGAGCTGGTCGAAGAGGAGGTGGATCTCAGTGCGGGCGGAGCTGCTGTCCTCCAGGCGCAGGGCGCGGAGCCTGGCCGACAAGCGGTGGAACCCACTGCGGGGCTCAGGGGGCGACTCCCGCGGCGCCTCCCGCAGCTGGCTGCACTGCAGCGAGCCGCCAACTCGTACCGCCGCCATTTTTCCGATGTGAGACCACAAGGAAATACTTCCGGGGCATCCCCCAACTCCGCCCTCAAGTCCCACAAATACCTTCTTTGGAACAGAACCGGAAGCAAAGTATTTCTTCCACTAGTAGTCCTCAGCCTAGTGTGTTGCAAAGGAGCAGCGAAAGGTTTAGCCCACTAACTCTCTGACCGCTGACTGAAAAGTGGAGTGGAGGGTTCCTGGCCAGGGCTGGCATTACTATGTTAATTACGCACTGGAGTTTCAGATTTGGGCTGGAGTTGGAGAGGGCCTGCTGTGGATGACAATGGCCAAAATTGCTGATTATCAGACATCTCTTCTTAACTTGTACTAGAGCCCCTGATTGTTCTATAGGTACAGAACAAAGGCTACATTACCCAATAGTCCCTGTACTTGACTCTGTGATTCCAATCTGGCCAATGGAATATAGGCAACTTTCCATTGTTTTCATGACAGCTGGCAGTGCTCTTTGTTCCCTTTTCTCCCCTTTTTGCAGTGTGAATGCTGAGAATCACAGAACACCTCTCCCTACTAGAAAAGTTAATTTTGGAGTTCAAACTGAACCGTGTAAATTATAACTTTCATTAAGAGTGAGCTGGTTGGAATTTGACACCCAAGATTTTCTGAAGCATTGTCAAGAAGCTGGAAAAAAAAAAGATGAAAAAACTACAATGCTTTGGGCCGGGGATTTAGCTCAGTGGTTCTGCCACCTGCCTTGCAAGCACAAGGACCCGAGTTCGATCCCCGATACCAAAAAAAAAAAAAAAAAAAAAAGATGAAAAGAAACTGGAAAATAAAAGAGCCATTATAACGCTTAATCAGTTACCCAAGAGATGAAGACTAGACCTTTACATTAAGGCAGACTGGGAAAACCATCTCTAGGACCTTTGAGTTCTTCAGATAAAAAGAAAATTCCCACTTCTAGTTCGTAGGGAAACCTTGAGGTTATTTCAATATGTGTTTTATCCTGAAAATAAAACACTGTGCAGCAGTGAAAATTGGATTATGTTTTAGGAGAGCTAGTTCTCTGAAGACTTTGGACTTCTTTGTGGAGAATTTTTGTTGTTTAGATTTAACACCATTATGCTTGCATATATTATTCTTATTCTTGGGATATGTGTTATATATGTGCAGTATGTGTGTGGAGGAGTAGTTGTGATATTCACTCATTTGCTCAAAGAAAATCAAAAGGTAAAACCTAGTCACTGTATGTTTTAGTTGGTGTTCTCTGAAAGTAGAGCCTCAAGTGAGGTTGATACGTGAGCAATTTATTCAGGAAAGAACAGAGATGGAAGGAGAATCAATAGTAACTTGTGCTCTTGAGTTAGTCACTGCAAGGGATGACTGTTTGGTCTTTGGGAGTTTCTGGGAAATCTTATGAAATGCTCTCAGAACCCCTCCTGAAGAATAAAGGGGATATGGGCCAGGGATTTAGCTCAGTGGTTCCGCCGCCTGCTCCGCAAGCACAAAGACCCAAGTTCGATCCCTGGTACCAAAAAAAAAAAAAAAGAAGAAGAAAGAGGATGTACATCTGCCCGCTTTTGACCTCTGTTGTCAGTGGGTGCTTCACCAGGGATTAATTCTCTAGTTCCGCGTCTTTCATTGTGCAGGAGTTCTTATAGGAGTCCCCTGATGCATAATCAGAGAAACTATGAGGCAAAGGTGAGGTGTTTGGAATACAAGTGCACATGTCTAAAACAAGGCTCTGGCAAGTTCCACTTGTACTAAGCTAGTAGATAGCTGAGATAAACTGGTTGCCATAACAATGATTCAAAGAATCTAAGACTAAGAGTATTTGAAGCAGTCCTTAAGAGATGTTCGACACATTGGGCTAGAAGAATGTGAGGCCTGGTCATTACCACAGTGGGGGAAGTGTGAAGAGACTGGGAAGAATCTGGGTTTAAGGTGGTTCATTGTAGGTTGCAATAAGGATGACCCACATGTAATGTTATTTGAGAAAACAAATGACCCAGGTATTGTAAAGTAGGTATACTGATGCCAATCTGTTGTGTTCTGATAGGATATATCCTTGTGGATGACAGTGTGCTTCCTTCAAGGAACTGAATATTCCTGTTCAGTGGTGATCATCAACCAAAAGAAAAATATATCAATTGTCCAGGGGAAGGGGCCTTTGAAGTTCCCTTGCATTGGCTTAAATCAGACAGCAGTACCTCCCATATCCATTTTCCACCCTGAGACTGTGGAAACTTAGAGCATGGCAAAGACTGTCTTCCAAGAAAATATCCTCACACATTCTCAATCCTCAGTGCTCCTCACTCCCAACATTTCAATTGTCTGATAGTGACTGAGAGGCTTTACAGAATGCTGAGCATGTTTACAACCATTCTCCTTCTAAATTCTGCATCAGATGATCTGGAACCTTATTCTGAAAATTCACTTTTTTATTTGTAACCTTATTCATACTTCATTTTTATTAGTTTATTAGTCTAGATTACCCTAATTAAAGTAGGCTTGTGTAACCTCACTCTATTTCACATTCTTGTTTATTTTTTTCAGAACATTTACCCTAACCTGTAGTTATCTTCATCATTTGTCACTTGTATGTTCTGTTTCCTCCTTTAGAATGAGAGTTTTATGAAGGCACAGATTCTGTCTAGTTCACTTTTGTGTCCCCAGTGCTAGCAAGCACCTGGGATGTGGTAGAAACACCACAATACTTGTTGACAGAATGGATTTTCTTTTTTATTTCATCTTTACACTGCAGGAAATGATGCCAGAGTTTAAATAGTTTGTCCAAAACCACATAGGCAGTGCATTGGTTAAAATCCCAAATGTACTGTACTCAGTACTGTACTATACTCAGGCTGGCTGAGAACTAAGTCTGTGATTATGAAGAACGTGGACAAGAAACTATAAGAGTTTTTTTTTTGTAACTTGTCCAGATTTTGTTATGGGAAGAAACAGAAAAAAAGGGCTGGCTCTCAGTATTCAGATTAAACCTTGAACTAGGGGAGACTGGGAAGGAGAATTGACCCTGAGTTCTATTTTAGAATATTACAAATTAAGACTAAGGATCATTGGCCCATCTATTTGGCAACAACAATAAATAAATACATATTCGGTATATATAACAAATATATAAATAAATAACACTGGGTGCAAAAACCCATCCCGTACTTTTCCACTGTAAATCTGTACTTTAGCAAATAGTACCTGGCTTTGCATCTCAGTAGTTGTGTCTGGTGGATATAAGAAGCAATCTTTGTGTTTACCCACATGGTACTACAAATGGCAAGGTGGCATGGTGTGTGCATCTGTGCAAAAATGTCAAACCAGGATTTTTACCTACATGATGTTCTGTCAAACAGTTTTTGCATATGTTCACCTGAGCATCATGGGGGTAAAATAAACCCACACCATTCTTCTGTTATGTAAACATATTCTTTACCACAATGGAATGTGGGTGTGGATCAGAGTAGCTGGGCATGGGGACAGCAGGAACCCATCTGTGCATTCACCCATTTGGCAGACAAATAGCAAAATGTGTA